TTCCAGGCTCTGCCATGTGGGTGGCATGTTGTAACAACCTGCATGCTGACAAACACGCCTCAGACGTTGTGCATGTACCTGCTGATCACGTACAGAAAGTATGGCCATATTGACAGAGTCAATGCAAGGAGTCCAGTTCTGCACCTGCCTGCATCTCTGCGCAGAACCTGTTGGTTTGCTCTTCACTGGTTGGCTCTGTTGCCACCCACTCGCCACAATGAAGCAGTCAACTATCGAGGTCAGTGAACCTTCCTACTCCTCACTTATCTACAATAGCTGACCCCCTCCCTACTCCCCACTTATCTACTATAGTTGACCCCCTCCCTATTCCTCACTTATCTACAATAGCTGGTTCCCTCCCAATTCCTCATTCCCCTATTCCTCCCTATTCCTTACTGGTGCCCACTCGAGAAAATTGATGAGCAACGGAATGACGATTGATATAAGTGATTATTTTTTATAAACAAAACCCCCCAATGGGGGACTGTCCAGACCATCTACACTTTGATCTTGACCAATACAGCTACAAGCTCCTCACCCTTCATTACACCGAAGTTATGGGAGTCTTATTATTTTGGTTTCCATGACGAGTAAGCCACACCAGGTCATGCTGGACACAAAGCTGCTTCTTCAGTCGTAATTTCCTTCCAGATCCCTTTATCTCCTCTATCACTGTAGTGGAGAGTATGAGGCTTAGTACAGGGAAAACAAACCCTGAAACAATGTGGAGGGCAGTGGACATTCTGATAATTAAAAGTTATTTTGGTCATCATTTCCTCTGAGATACAGAAGCTTCTGAGTTTGATGTAATCCCATTTGTTTTTCTACCCCCACTGCAGGACTACTCAAGGTGACCGGGAGAGGGTGCGCTAGCAGGGAAGAGACAGAAGAATGAGAGCAAGACAATACTCTGATCAAGCTCCAAATTTATTTCTGCCAAGCTATTTTTTTTATAATTGATTACATGAGGAAGCGGGCCCAGTAACGTCTCCATTGTGAGACTGGTTGTTACTGTGTTTGGCATATCGAATACATCACGGGTAGCTTGCCAGGCTCTGCCGTGCGGGTGAGATACTCTCGGTAGCTTGCCGGGCTCTCTGAGAGGGGTGGAGGAATCGATCTCAGGTGGGCCATGTTGGCTGTGCGCAAGGCAAACGCCTTACCACTGTGCTATCGGGAGTGATAATAATATTGGTCTATAATATTATCTTTGGGCTGGAGCAATAGCCCGGCAAGCTACCGAGAGTATTTCGCCCATGCGGCAGAGTCTGGCAAGCTACCCGTGACATACTCAATATGCCAAACACAGTAACAACAAGTCTCACGATGGAGATGTTACTGGGCCCGCTCGAGCAAATCAATGAACAACGGGAGGACTGTGACTGTGACATGAGGAAGGGAGCAAAATGGGAAATTGACAAAGCATGCATATTTTCAGTAAATCAGGGTGTGAGTCCTGACAGTGGGCTCATGGCAGTTATCTCGGGCATAGCTCAAAAACTTACACAACGTATTTTAACATTTTTCCAAGAAGAAATTAGTCCCTAGATTGCATGTCAGGCTGTACTGACCTTTTGGCTCCCGGCATCTCCCCCCCCCCATTTTTTTTTAAATAGGCCATTAAGTATCCTATAGAGAGCCTTAATTTTTATTTTTAAAATAGGCAATTAAGTATCGGTAGTATAGAGGGCTTGTTCTTGCAGCTCCAGAGATGGCTCAACCCGTATCAGAGAACACAAGCTCTCCTCCATGGAAAGAAGGACATTAACCAGCGAGGGAAGTAGGGACCTATTCCTCAGTCACTATTAAGGATCCTTTTAGTGGGGAGAGGAATATTTTTCAAATCCAACCTCTATGCAGATAAGCGTGCTTCTACGAGCTCAGGACGGCCTTTGAAGGCTCCTCGTCGGTGGATACCACCTGGTTCCGCCCCCTGGAGGTGCCCATAGCATCATCGCAACTGCCCTGAGATGCAGCTGCCCTAGTTTGGGTGCAAGGAGCAAGTAGCTGCAGAAGGAGTGGGTGTACAGATCCATTCAGGCACCTCTAGCCCTTGATAAGCAAGATCCAATCGATGGTAATGAATTTGGATGGGTTTTGATGCCAGGGAGTCAATCTGGCTTTTTATAAAAGCCATAACTCTATTAAACAAAAATGGAGCCAGGGATATTACAATCAAAATACCGAAAAGGAGACCAAGCAGGGAAGCACATAAGGTAATATTCCTCCCATTCCCCCACACCCAAGGGAGGTGTCAGTGGGTCGTCTCCGCTTCTTGAGGTCTTCTTGGAGCTGTCTTATTCGATCTGAACCATGCCACTCTGGTTGATGAAGAAGCAGCATTCTTCTTGCAAACAAACAAACAAACAAACAAACAAACACAAAGGCCGCCCTGTTTGGCAGTAAGGAGTTCCAGACCTCGTCGGTTCTGCAATACAACTTGGGCAAGAGAATTTAATTGCTTTTGAACAGTCAAAATTATTTGGGATACCTCTTGGATGTCCCCTATCAGCTGATTTTGCAAGGAGTTATGTAAGGAGACAGCAGTGGTGATGCCCGCTGTGCCTGTGGTAATCCCAGTTGCCACTCCCAGGCCAAGAAGAAAAGGGATGAAGGCAAGAGACTGGGTGTACGAGTATGTTCTTTCACAAATATTGGGATGGGTTCGGATGCTGGGAGTACACTAAGTTGTGGGAAAACAAAGATAATGGTACAAATTCCAGTGAAATTTCCATACAGAAAGGGGCAAATACCTGTGTCACAAAGAAACGAGGCATTATATGAAGAGAAATACTTAAGGGCAGCATGCATTACTGGGGATTCCAGGAATTTTTTACAATCAAGGGAAAGTTTCCCAGTAGGAATACCGTTTAAATTAGACTTATTAAAGCAAGTAAGATTCTCTGGAACTGTAGATGGCATATGATGGGGAAAAATAATACAAAGGTCTATTATCATGACAGGGCTTAATTACTTCAGAGAAATTAAGGATATTATTAATCAGCAAGCTGGAAGAATGAAGGGGGGTGTCATAGGAGTAGCGCATACACAACCAGCACCCTTGAGCGTACCCAACCTGAGCATTAAGCAATTGATAGGAGTATTTCAACAATTCAAGTAAAAGGGAAAAGGTTCAAGAATGTACTGGGTTAACTTGTACAAGAGCTTGTAAAGCCTGGGATGCTGAGTCAGCTGTTCGTGAACAATCTCTGCAGGTGTAGTGGTAGGTTCCTGAATCCAGACCTTCTGAACCGTAATTAAACTCATGAGGTTCGTCCCTCTTTCATCCACTCTGATCCCTGCATATGTCTTGGAGCTCCAATGGGAATTGGAGGGATCAGAGATTCTATATTTTACTGGATTACATTGGTCCAACTCAGGAGGGGAAAGAAGCATCAAAGCACTCCCCGTAGAGCCGGTATGGTCATGAGGACAAGACCAATATGGGCAATATCCATGCTGGGCATGCAAACAGGATGATGACTGCTGGTATTCCCAGAAAATATATTTCTGGTCAGTGGAATAAGTTTTCTCCCAAGAGCCGCAGGAATCAGCTCCCCTTGTAGGGTGGCAGGCATCAAAGTACAAACCTACATGGTTATCTGCTAAGGAATCATATAGGAATTTATTAAGAAGAAAGGGTGGGTCAAATACAACTGCAAGAATCTGAAATTCCCAGTGTGTGTCTTCTTTTTTACTGTAGATTGTCTGTGTCAGTGCCATCAGGTGGGAGAAGTATGATTTTCATCTCCATCTGTGGGAAAAGAAAGGAAGCTATTCTCAGGAATTTGAATCTCCCTGGATTCTTTGGTGTTAGGATTTGAATCTCCCTGGATTCACAGGCTTAATCAACTGTTCAGGGAGCCAGCGAGCTGCGCCCTCTTGGCTGTCAAAAATACAAGCGGACCCTTGTCCCCAGATAAGCATGGGGTCTGGGCCTTTCCATTGAAAGGTAAGAGGGTCTTTCCACATGGCAAGGGCATGTTTATTTTGAGTAGATGGGTACCAGAGGCGGTCTGCTGTCGAACATCCTTGTAAATCCAAGATTAAAAAATTTAGAACAAAAAGGGCATGGCTCAAAAGGTTTCTAGGAGTGCCCAAGGTTGGGTAAATAGTTCCTTGTTTCAGTTTTTGAAGGTAGGCCTTGAAGGTTTGGTGAGCACGCTCCATTATGCCTTGGCCTTGTGGGTTGTAGGGGATGCCTGTTATGTGTTTTATTTGGAACTGATGACAGAAGGTCTGGAAATTCTTACCTACATAACCTGGGCCATTGTCAGTTTTAATTATCCTGGGTTTCCCCATAAGGGCAAGGCAGGTTAAGATATGGGCGATAACATTCTTGGAAGCCTCCCCATATTGTAATGAGGCATGGATAAAGCCTCTGCAAGTATCAATAGTTACATGAATATATTTAAGTTTCCCAAACTGATGACAGTGAGTGACATCCATTTTCCAAATAGCATTAAGTACCAATCTTTGGGAGTTTACACCCAGATGTGGTGAGAGCAACATAGTTACGCATCCAGGACACTTTTTAAATGTAGGAGTACTGCTATTTATTCAGTCACTGATTAGGCTGATTGAATTGTGCACGAACTCTGCCAGGACAATTTTTAACTATCTGCCAGGCTTGCTCCCGAGTGAGTTTATAAAGAAGCCTAAGAGTATTGGTATTCAAATGATGAAGGGCATGAGCCTGCTGAGCTTGGGTAACTGAGCCAATGAGAACTGGGAAGGTCAACTGAGTGGTGGCATCAGCTAAGGCATTCCCTGCAGCCTAAGGGCTAAAGGTCTGGGAAGATCAGAGTGAGCGCGAAGATGACCTACATAAAATGGTTGGCAAATCAATTCTTGCAACTGAGCATAAAGAGAGGAGGCTTTTGTGGAAGGTTTTCCAAGAGAGGAAGGGCAAAGGCAACATAGGAGCTGTCTGTATATAAAGTAAAGGGTACGGTGGGTAACTGCTGAAAAACTTGAACAATGACAAACAATTCAACCAATTAGGCAGAGGTATAGGTGGATTTCTTATGCTGGGGGTTGCCATTAATCACATAGGCGGCCTGGCCATTAGAGGATCTATCTGTAAAAACTGTGAAGGTACCCTGTATGGGAGTAAAGGAGGTAACTTTTGGAAAAAAAAGAGTGCATCCTAGCAAACTGTAAAAGCTTATTAGCAGGGTAATGATTATCTATTGTGCCTGTAAAGGAAAGGCAGGCAATTGACCAGTCATCTGAGGCACGTAGAAGCCAGTTTAACTGTTCTTGAGTAAAGGGGATAATCAGGGTATCAGATTCCTTCCCAAAATACTGAAGACTGTGCTCTCTCCCCAGTAGTATAAGCTTTGCCACCAATAATGGATAAGAAGTCAGGACTTTTGTTGGAGCGGAGGCAAGGTGTACCCAAAAAATCAGGGCCCCTTGCCAAAACACCCTGGTAAGTGCATGAAAGGTGGCACAGATAACAAACAGAAGGGCCTTTTATAGGAGACAAAGGCAACATTTTGGTCCCGAATGACTGAAATGACCAACTACAAGGCAGCCAGGGCAGGGGGCATAAGAGTCCTAGGGGAAGTGGGGTCAGGGTCTCCTTTAAGGATCTCAAAGAGGGGCTTAAGATCCCCGATGGTCAAACGCAAATAAGGGTGAATCCAGTTTATGTTCCCCAGCAATTTCTGGAAATCATTAAGTGTCTTCAAGTGAGTAGTCTGAAGTTGCAATTTTTGTGTGAAAAATTTGGAACCCCTTAATTCAAAACCCAAAGAAAAATACGGGTCCTTTAGCTCAATTTTATCAGGTGCAACCTGAAGGTTGGATGCAGATAGATTCAGAACAAAGTCCTTGCAGCATGCAAGGAGTTGGGAGCCATCAGGGGCTGCAAAGAGTATATCATCCATATAGTGGAGGATGTAAATAGTGGGCCAATGGCACCTTATGGGATCAACATCTTGAGCCACAAATTTTTGGCACAAGGTGGGACTATTGGCCATTCCTTGTGGTAGGACCTTCCACTGAAATCTAGGCATGGGGCCTGCAAAGTTTACAATTGGTAAGCTAAATGCAAAGCATTCCTTATCCAAGGGATGAAGGGGTATGGTAAAAAAAGCCTTGTTCCTCAGGGTTGAATACACTGACATATCCCCTCAATCATATGATCATCTAATCTTTGATAAAGGTGCAAGTAATGTGAAGTGGAGTAAGGAAAGCCTCTTTAACAAAGTGTGCTGGCAGAACTGGACGGCTACATGCAAAAAAGTGGGCTCAGAACTCTGCCTAACACCATGTACAAAAGTAAGATCAAAATGGATTAAAGACCTCAACATCAGACCAGAAACCATAAGGTACATTGAAGACAAAGTTGGCAAAACCCTCCATGACATTGAAGCTAATGGTATCTTCAAAGATGCCACGCCACTGGCTGAACAAGTGAAAACAGAGATAGATAAATGGGACTATCTTAAACCACGAAGCTTCTGCACCTCCAAAGAAACAGTGACCAAAATACAAAGACAGTCTACAGAATGGGAAAGGATATTCGCCGAATACACATCTGACAAGGGGTTTATACAAAATACTGGTTGAACTCCACAAGCAGAAAATATCCAACCCCATCAAAAAATGGGGCAATGAAATGAACAGAAACTTTCTCAAAGAAGAAATCCAAATGGCAAAAAAACACATGAGAAAATGTTCTACATCATTAATTATCAGGGAGATGCAGATCAAAACCACAATGAGATACCATCTCACACCTCAGAGACTGGCCCACATCCAAAAGAACAAAAGCAACCGATGCTGGCGCGGATGTGGCGAGAAAGGGACACTGTTTCACTGTTGGTGGGAATGTCAACTGGTTCAGCCTTTCTGGAAAACAGTATGGACGATTCTCAAAAAATTAGAAATTGAGCTCCCATTTGACCCAGCAATACCACTCCTGGGAATATATCCCAGAGAGGCAAAAATGTATAGTCGAAGTGATATCTGCACTTGTTTGTTCATTGCAGCACTCTTTACAATAGCCAGAAACTGGAAGAAACCTGAATGCCCAAGAACAGATGACTGGTTAAAGAAACTTTGGTACATCTACACAATGGAGTACTATGTAGCTGTTAGAAAAGATGAAGTCATGAAATTTATATACAAGTGGTACAACATGGAAAGTATCATGCTAAGTGAAATGAGTCAGAAAGAGAGGGATAGACATAGAAAGAGTGCATTCATCTGGGGAATATAAAGAAACAAATGAGATTAATGAGATTAATGAGATTAATACCCAAGAATAGCTGAGATCAACACCAGGAGGATTACTCCATAGCTTATAGGCCAGCCAGGCATTCTAGGGGAAAGGGCAGCTCAGATAGAGAAGGGAGCACCAAATAAAGGGTGTTTTGAGGATCCTCCCAGGAGGGGAGATGCATGTTGAAAGTAGACTATGGAGTGAACATGTTTGCCACTCAAAGCCTCTTTTGAAGACCACAACATCCAAAAGGAGAGAGAGAACACAAGGGATTGCCCTGCCACAGAGGCAGGGTGAGATGGGAGGGATGGGGGTGCGAGGGATATTATCCATGGTGGTGGAAAATGGGCACTGGTAGAGGGATGAGTATTTGATCATTGTATAATCGAAACCCAAGCACAAAAAATTGTAAATCTACAACTGTACCTCATGGTGTTTCACTAAAAATAAAAAAAAAAATTAAAAAAAAGCCTTGTTCCTGACATTCCATTCACTCTCAACAGAACGACCATCTCCGAATGCAACAGTTATGTGTACCTAGGTCGAGAGGTCAACATGATGAATGACCTGGCACCTGAGTTGCACAGGAGGAAGAGAGCGGCTTGGAACACCTTCAATAGCATCGAAGAAATAGCTAAGAGGACAAAGAACCTCCGCCCCAGGCATATCTCTTTGATTCCACTGTTCTTTCTGCATTAACATATGCCTCAGAGACCTGGGTCCTACGAAAATAGGATGAGAACTCTATTCAGGTCTCCCAAAGAGGAATTGAAAGAGCTATGCTTGGAATCTCACGTTTCACTCAAAGGAGAGAAAGAATCCGGGGTTCGGACCTCCGTCGATGATCAAGAATCAGGAACGCTGTCTCGTTTGCCAAGGTGTCGAAAATCAGATGGGCTGGACACGTAATGAGATTTGGAGACGACTGCTGGACTAGAGCCGTTACCGACTGGGTTCCACGAAACGTCAAAAAACCTTGTGGCCGCTCACCTATAAGATGGTCAGACTTCTTCTTCAAGACCCTGAATGATCAGTTTTAAGCTCTTTCTGTTCCTAGAATGGACAGACACCATTGGGCTACACTAGCACGCCACAGGGATCAATGGAGATGTTACTGGTGCCAGCTCAAGGAAATTGATGATTAACAGGAAGTCAAGTGATCAAGTGATCATTATCTTTTGTGTTACAGTATGAATATACATTACTTAAATGCATTTTATTTGTTTATTTATTCATTTATTTTAATTGAATCACCACAAGATACAGTTACAAGGCTTTCCTGTTTGAGTTTTTGTCATACAATTATAAAATACCCATCCCTTCATCAGTGCACATTTTCCACTACCAAAATCCCCAGCATCCCTACATAACAACCCTTCCCCTTTATGTGTGGCAGACAATTTCCACAGTACTCTCGACTTTGATTACTTTCAATATTTCAACACCAGTCCCACCATTTTTATTTGAAATTTTTTCACCATCGCTTGAACCTGCCAAAATGGCAATGGTAGACAATTTGTTTTGTATACTTGTTATGATTTCTCGTGTCCATGCACTCCTGGAATTCTAAAATTTTAATAATTAGGATCTGGAAGATTTCTGCAGCAAGCTGCTCAGTTCTGAGATTTGTTTGTGTGTCTCTGGATCATGACCATTAAGGAGCTTTATAAGTAGCCCGGGGCAGTTCGTGGGTGTCATCTCATGATCCTATCAGGGTTGGGGGATTAGAGGGACTGGCTCCTCCCCTGTTCTGTGAGGCCTGGTGTTTGCTATTACTGCTCCCACATACATGGGCTTCTCATTGGATTCTGGAGGATGGCGGCCACTGGAATTCCTAGGGGACAAGTGGAGGGACCTCACCTGCTCCTGTCTGGAGTAGCACAGTGAAAACGGCCTGTTGCAAAGTCTGGAGGCATCTCTGCAGTGAGCTGCGCAGCTCTGAGATTTGTTTTTGAGTCTCCTTGAATGCAGTTATATTCATTACAAATATTTAAGGTAATATTTTAGGTACTGGAAAATACCCATGAAGAAATTAGGTCCAATTTCTGTTCCCACCTACATTTACCAACTACTTCCCAGGCCGGTCTAACTAAAATGAGACTTTTCTTTTCTTTTCTTTTCTTTTCTTTTTTTCTTTTCTCTTCTTTTCTTTCCTTCCTTTCTTTCTCTCTCTCTTTTTTTAGGAAATCAGGAACAAGGAAGAAAACATAGACACATGGAAAAAAGGTCTGAGAGGTTGAGAGAAGGAGGTCTTGGGGAAGGTATAAATGTGAGAACCAGTAGTGGCATTGTAAAAGGACAGACGGCCAGCATCGTAGTCTAGAAAAATTCCTAATACTTCAGGCCTCTCCCTCAGTGTAAAGGGAGTGGCATTAGACGTTAGGGCTAAGCCCATCTTGTTCCATTTCAGTTTGATAATCCAGAATCCAGACCCAGACTTCCTTGTGTTCCTTGGCACATTTTCCAGACAAACTCCTAGACCACACTCGTTTCCTTTTAGCACATCCACTTCAAAGTAATGTCTTCCTGAGGTGAAGCGCTCTTGGCCCAGGATCCAGGGTGCGACAATAAATTCTTTAGCAAATTGAGAAGTCATAAAAGAACCAAAGTCAAGTTTTTCAACATTACACATTCTTCTCTGGTTTTCAGAAAGATCTAATCCTGGATGAGCAGTATCTGGATCCAGAGTCACATTGACTGGTAAAAAGAAAAGAAAAAGACCTGTTTCTTTTAAATTTTTTCATTTGGAGGTGGGGGGATGTAGGGTGCACACCAGGCAGTGCCCAGGGCATACTACTATCCCTGTGCTCAGAAATCACTTCTGGAGGTGTACTATATGGGATGCTTGGGATTTGGTGGTAGTCTAGGAATTTTTCTAGACTATGATGCTGGCCATGTGTGCCAGGCAGGCATCCTACCTATTATAGTTTAGTTACAGCTTGATAAAAACTTGGTTTAATTTGTTTATTTTCTGTTTGTTTTGGGGTCACACCCAGCAATGTTCAGGGCTTACTCCTGGCTCTGCACTCAGGGATCTCTTATATGGGTTGGGGGGAGGGGCATATGACAGGATGATCTGTAGTTTACCAAGTTATTGATAACAGAGTTTCAGGCATTCAGTGTTCTAACTGCAAACTCACCACCACCGTTAGTATTCCTCCAGACATGTTTTGATACTTAGAGTCTTTTTAAAAAATAAAGCTAGCCTATATTCAAACTTAAGTTCTGTTCTTACTATTCATGAGTCATTTTGCAGAGACTTTGGGAAAGATGGAGTGAACTAAGGAATAATATTTATTAAAATGTCTGATTAATGGGAAGTGTCTGAGAATTCCTAGTAATAATATGATTATCATTCTTATCCCTAGGTTATAAAATTTCTATCTTCTAGAAATAACCACAATTTACATGGTTTCTATAGTATCCAAAGTTCATTTTCCTCCATGAGAAATCATAGAAAATTGAGGCAGAAATAAAACTATTTCTTCTCCGATTAACAATTATGAAATCTGTATCAGAAAGGTAAAAAAAGACAACTAATATCATAAAACGCGATTAAAGACCTAGAATTTTATTGTCACAAACTTATGCTAGTTCCATGGATTTATGAGCTCTAATTTCTTATATTAGATGATAGTATCACTGTATCACTGACACTGTATCATTGTCTTCCCATTGTTCATCGATTTGCTAGAGCGAACTACAGTTATGTCTCCATTCATCCCTGTTGCATGCTAGTGTAGCCCAATGGCATCTGCTCGCACCAGGAACATGAAGAGCCTGAGATTTTAGTAGCCTCTCTTTACTTGTCCTTCCCAACACTGCCGGTATTGGGGGCTCTTTCAGGGTCACGGGAATGAGACCCACTATTGTTACTGTTTTTGGCATATGGAATACGTCACGGGTAGCTTGCCACGCTCTCTGAGAAGAAAAACTGCCTAGATAATATTACTCTATAGAAATTAGTAAAGTGTGAAAGAACTAGGGTCAATATACATGAAAACTACCTGATCATAGTTGAATAAAACAGGAAAATAGGTGATAAACATAATTGGGATCCTGAATGTGTAATAAAATTTTCAAAACTAAATGTATCAATAGAATGTTTTGTTTTTTTGTTTCTGGGGGGCCACATCAGGGATGCTCAAGGGTTTCTCCTGACTCTGCACTAGGAATTAGTCAGGGCAGTGCTGAGGGGACCATATGTGTTACCGGGGACCAAACTCTATGCTAGGTCAAACACCTACTCCCTGTACTATTGCTCAGGCCCATAGAATGTTAACCATTTAGTAACCGCTCAGAAAGAGTCAGTCACTCACTGGGTGACCAAGTTAAGTAGTACAAGAAGTTGAACCGATTTCCAAGCAACTTCAATCCCCTATGCAGAAATACTTCTAGATGTTCTCAGTGTTCCTTCAAATCCCTGCTGGTTTTCCTCCACTTTTCCTATCTGGCTGTCTCTCTGAAAGACTGACTGCTGTGGACACATCACCCGGGCCCTCTTCCCTATCACTCTGTTTATTTCAACCAACAGGAAGCAGAGGAGAAGGCCCTGGGGCACAAAGCAACTGAGCAACAGTGTGAAGTACACATGGCCCTCCCATGCTGACTGGCAGGCTCTGCATTCCTCTCCTCTGTCACACTCCCACCCCCACAGCGCCCTCTACCTGCCATTTGAGGCCCAGGCCAATGATGGTTGTCTACCCGTTCCTGCCTTGGGTGCTGGACTATTCCTTGTTCTCTACCCTAGTTCTCGTATTTATAAATAATCCCTTAATTAAATCGTGACAGAGAGATACAATAAGGCACCTTCCTCAACTGGGATGTCCCAGGTTTGATTCCCTGTATTACGTATGGTTCGCTGAGCACTACCAGGTGTGGTCATTGAACATAAAACTAGGAATAAGTCAAAGGCGCAGTCAGGAGTGGCCCCCAAGATCCAAATAAACAAATATAATTTAAAAAATTCTAAATAAATCTGTATCACATACACTACTTTGTTTGGCCCTGGTACAATGAGCTTAGAAACAAATTCTTAAAAGAGTAATTTAAAAAAATCTTTTAAATATTCAGAAATAGAAGAGTTTTAATATTATAATGTGAACAGATGTAAAACTGAACAATACTAAAATCATACACGTAAAAGTGCACACCAGTACTAAGGCAGAATTTGGGGTGAGCGACCTGCAAGCAGGTGCAGGGGGCCCGTTCACTCCAGGCCAACTGGACCAGCTGATCAGGCCAAGGCCCCAGGATGCCATGAAGGGGAGCTTCAGTGTTGACACAATCTGGGCATTCTGAACATGGAGCATGCTCTCAGCACACTGAACTTTCTCTATGGTCCTTAGATTAGGTTTAATTGTACAGCCAAATTTTTGTTTACACTTTCTCTTTCCATAATTTTTGGGTTATATAAGAGATTACAGAAGCATAGAGAATAATGATTAAAGAGAAAGAGAAAACTCAGCTTTGGGATTAGTAAAACGTGTTGCAGGGCCAAGGTCCTTGCATCACTTACACCACATTTTATAATAATCACCTACCTTTCTCACATTACACTGAGTTATGTAAAATATTAACAAGGGATTCTTAAATCAACATACCTTGATAGCACTTTAATATTTTTCTCATGTTAAAGTAATCAGAGACATTACACACAGTATTCAGCTCCAAAGAAACGTCCTTTGGTGTTTCCATATTGATAGTTGAGTTCCTAGAATAAGTGGATACCTGAGAAGTTTTATACAGTAGTTTTCCTATTCATGTCTCTCTGCTCCCCACAACTCTCCCCACATGCCCCTCAGCCCAGAATGTCTGCCTGAGGCACTCACCTGCTCAAGGTGTCTTTTATATCCTGTAGAGAAACAAAGACCAGAAGTGAGTGCAGGTGTATATGAACTTCATGGCGAATAGAATGCAGAGAAATTCTTTATAGACACTCCTTCCAGGGATGTAAGGTAAGTGACTCCAAGGGTGGGAATGGAACCAAGGTTTCATCTGTACAGTGTAAGTTCATTACCGTTGAGGCACACCACTGGTGAACTAACCATGGACACTGATGAATTTTTTTAAAATGTAGAAATACTGCTATTTATTCAGCCATTGATTAAGCTGATTGAATTGGGTATAAACTCCACATTACTTTTTTAAATTAAAAAATTATTAATTGATTATCCGTGAGATAGACCATTACAAAACTGTTTATAATTGGGTTTCAATCATGCAATGATCCAACACCCATCCTTCCACCAGTGTATATTTCCCACCACCAACCCCAACACCCTACTCCCACAGCCCCAGTCTTCCTCTATGGGAGACACTTCTTTTCTTGCTCTCTATTTCCTTTTCCTTTTGTACATTATGATTTGCAATACAGGTGCTAAGAGGTCGTGGTGTTTGTTCAGGGCATTCAGTATTTTTATCAGACAGTAAGACTGGAGTAGCTTTTCAATTTGGTGGCCGTTTTGGGGTGTGGGTGTGACTGCCGAGGCTTCCAGAAGTAAAGTTAGGTGGGGGAAGGTAGTCCATCCTGACCCTGAGAAAGCCTGGAGATTTTAGCCACAAAACCCTCATACCGAATTTTCAGCAGATTATATCTTGTTGGGGTCCAGCCAAAGGCACAGCTGCAATTCTGGGTGTTGGGAAGCCTGAAGGCACCATCAGGCTGACAATGAAATTGTCCCTCAGATACCTGTGGTAGCATGATACCACCAACATTTTAATAGGATGATTTCAACCTGAGTTCCTTGGGGATGCACATGGCAACCTGTTTATCAATCTCTCAGTCACCTGTCTTCTTTACTGAGTCCTGTAGGGAACTTTGGTGTTTGAAAACACATCAACCTATGGCTATTGAGAAAGGGGTCAGAAAGATGTCCAGGGTACCGCTTCCCTTCGATAATGTGATTTCCTTAAAGTGAGTCTATATTGGACACTGCTTATCATAAAGGATCTGAATCCTGAGTCCATGTAGAGTCCCTGTGACTGAGATGCTTAGGTGTTGATAGCAGGCCCATCTCAATTCATTCTCTATCAGTAAGCAGAATAGTAGCAGTGAGTATGAAGGTCTAAACCACACAGGTCACAATGGTAAAGCAATGCAGAAGCCCAGCAAGCTTACTTTTTGAAGAGGCTAGTCCAGAAGACACCAACAGTATTGAAGTGCTAGACAACCTCTCTGACAAGGAACTTAGAACGAACCTACCGAAGATGCTTAGGGAGCTAAAAGAAACAACAGAAAACAATGCCAATAAAAGATAAGAGGATTTGAAGGTAGAAATGAGGAAAATACAAATAAAGTTAGAAACGGAAATGTCATACCTGAAAATCCAGGTAGGCGAATTGAAAAACTCAGTGGATGGCCTCAACAACAGAGTAACAGCTGCTGAGGACAGAATCAGTGAGCTTTAAGATGAAGTCCAGAGATTCTCCAGAAAAGAGTGAAAATGGAAAAGAGACTCACAATTCAGGAACAGATGGCAAGAGAAGATCGTGATAAAGTCAAGGAGTAACGTAAGAATTATTGGAGTCCCAGAGGAACAGGAAGAAAACCCTGATGAAGAAGAAACCGTCAAAGACATCATTGCGACGACATTTCCAGAGCTGAAGAAAACATTCGACCACATTCAGGAGGCCCGAAGGGTACCAGCTAGAAGAAATTCGGATAAAAATACCCCAAGACACATCCTGGTCAAAATGAACAAAACCTTAGATAGAGACAAAATTCTGAAAGCAGCAATTAAAGAAAGAAATTTTCTATAAAGGAGCGTCGTTAAGATTCACAGATCATTTGTCTGATGAAACCCTCATGGCTCCAAGACAGTGGTGGGATATAGTGAAAAACTCAATGAAATAAATGCCTCACCAAAAAATACTTTACCCAGCGAGACTCTCCTTCATAACAGAAGGAACAACACACAGTTTCACAGAAAAACAATAGCTCAGAAACTTCCTAGTCTCAAAACCATGGTTACAAGAACAATTAAATGGGCTACTTTAAGACAAGACAGGCCCCTCAAATACACCAAATTTCAACAGGAAAATGGGACAAAAGCCCATAACAATAATCTCTCTTAACGTCAATGGGCTAAACGCACCAATTAAAAGACACAGAGTGGCAGGATGGATTAAAAAATTGAACCCAACATTCTGCTGCCTGCAAGAAACACATCTCAATAGTCAGAGCAAACACAGGATCAAAGTCAAAGGCTGGCAAACAACTCCCATAAAAAAACTGTGGTAGCCATCGTAGTGTCAGACAACATTGACTTCAGACTGAAGAAGGTCATAAGAGACAGTGAAGGCCATTTCTTATTGATCAAGGGATCTGTACAACAGGAAAAACTTACAATACTAAATGTATATGCACCTAATGAGGGACCAGCAATGTACTTAAAACAACTACTCATAGACTTGGAGAAAGAAATTGATAGCAACACAATAATAGTGGGAGACTTCAACACCACTTTATCACCTCTTAATAGATCAACCAGACTCAATCTTAGCAAGGACATACTTCTTCTGAGAAAAAAATGGAAAAAGGGACTTAGTAGATATATACAGGACACTTTGTCCTCAAAAAGATGAATACACATTCTTCTCAAGTGTGCATGGAACATTCTCCAAGATAGACCACGTCCTGAGTCACAAAACATACCTCCATAAAATTAAGAGAATAGAGACTATATCAACAATCTTCTCAGACCATAATGCGCTGAAATTAGAAATAAATCACACACACAAAAAGAAAACTAAATCAAACACCTGGAAACTAAACAGTTCTCTGTTGGACAACGAGTGGCTTAGAAAGGAAATCAAAGAGGAAATCAAAAGATTCCTGGAAACGAACGAAAATGAGGACAGAGTTACCAAAACTTATGAGACACAGCAAAAGCTGTGTTAAAGAGGAAAGTTTATAGCTTTAAAAGCATTACCCAGAAAGGAGGAGTGAGCCCACATAAGTAACCTAACCTCACAGCTTAAGCGCTAGGAGAATGACCAACAAAAGGACCCCAATCCAAACAGGAGGAAAGAAATAAAACTCAAAGTAGAGATTTTGGAGATGTAAACCCATAAAACAATCCAAAAGATCAATGAAATCAAGAGCTGGTTCTTTGAGAAAATAAACAAGATCGATAAATCTCTAGCAAAACTCACAAAGAAAGGGAGAGAGAAAACCCTAATAAACCGAATTAGAAATGAAAATGGGGTCATTACAACAGAAACTACAGAAAGTCAAAGGATCCTCAGGGAGTAGCTTATGAAACTTTATGCCACGGAACACGAAAACCTCTAGGAAATGTATAAATTCCTATATTCCTATAGCCTCCCAAGGCTGAATCAAGAAGACTGGAATACCTGAACAGACCTATCACCACCAAGGAAATTGAAACGGTAATCAAAAGTCTCCCCAAGCACAAAAGTCCTTGCCCAGATGGATTAACTAGTGAATTCTTCTAAATCTTTAAAGAAGACTTACTCCCAATCCTCTTTAAGCTTTTCCACAAAATTGAAATCTCAAAAACACTTCCGAACGGTTTCTATAAAGCAAATATAACCCGGATACCAAAAGTAGACAGAGCTACCATAAGGAAAGAGAATTACAGGCTGATATCCCTGATGAACACAGATGCAAAGATCTTCAACAAACTATTAGTAAATAGAATCCAACAACTCATCAAAAGGATCATACACCATGACTAAGTGGGATTCATCCCGGGGATGCAAGGATGGTTTAACATTCGGAAATTAATAAAAATAATTCATCATATTAACAAAATAAAAGATAAAAGCATATAATCATATCAATAGATGCAGAGAAAGCATTTGATAATATCCAGCACCCGTTTATGATGAAAACCCTCGCCAAAATGGGTACAGAGGGGACTTTCCTCAATATAGTTAAAGCCATCTACCACAAGTCTACAGCAAGCATCATCCTCAATGGGGAAAAACTGAGAGCCTTCCCTCTAAGATCAGGGATGAGACAAGGATGCCGACTTTCTCCACTGCTGGTCAATATAGTACTGGAAGTACTTGCAATGGCAATCAGGCAAGAAAAAGATATTAAGGGAATCCAGGTAGGAAAGGAAGAAATCAAGCTCTCACTATTGCAGATGATATGATACTATACTTAAAGAACCCGAAAACCTCTACCAAGAAACTCCTAGAAACAATAGACTTGTATAGTAAAGTTGCAGGATATAAAATCAATACACAAGGGTCCATGGCATTCCTATATGCAAATAGTGAGAGAGAAGAAAGTGACATGAAAGAAACAATCCCATTCACAATTGTGCCCCAGAAAATCAAGTACCTAGGAACCAGCTTAACTAAGGAAGTAAAGGACCTGTACAAAGAAAACTACAAAACGCTACTTCAGTTAATAAAAGAGGACACGAGGAGATGGAAAGATATCCCCTGCTCATGGATCAGGAGAATTAACATTGTTAAAATGGCAATGCTTCCCAAAGCAACAAATTCAATGCTATCCCTATAACGATACCCATGACTTTCTTCAAAGAAATTGAGCAAACACTCCTGAAATTCATATGGAACAATAAGCACCCACGAATAGCTAAAGCAATTCTTGGGAAAAAGAAAATGGGAGGAATCAGCCTCCCTAAATTCAAACTGTACTACAAAGTAGTAATAATTAAATCAGCATGGTACTGGAAAAAAGGCAGAGCTGCAGACCAATGGAACAGGGTCGAATATAGTGACATCTACCCCCAAAAATATGATCATCTAATCTTTGACAAGGGAGCAAGAAATGTGAAGTGGAGCAAAGAAAGCCTCTTTAACAAATTGTACTGGCAAAATTGGATGGCTACATGCAAAAAAGTGGGCTCAGAA